GAGTAGCTTTCTTTTTATATATAGCTCTTACTATACTCTATACTACTAGTATAATATTAAAGTATTAAAGTATATAGGTAAACTAATTATAGTATATAGCTATATAGTTCTTATAGAATAAGCTTATAATAAATAATCCTATCTACCTATCTACTTATAATACTAATAAATAGTTTTCTAACCTAGTTACTTTTAAAATATTTTACCTTTAAAAAAGATAGTAGTTAAGTATTTATTACTACTATATAAAGAATATCTCTTATTTTTCTAGTATACTCTTTAATATATAGATCTTATTCTACTAAGTAATATATTAGAATAGAACTAGCCTAGACTACTCTTATAATACTAATACTATTACTCCTATTTATAATATAGCTAAAACCTTAATACTATAAAATAAAGTAAAAAGTATATAATAACTATACTAATAACTTATTCCTTAATTATATATACTATTCTTATTACTATATACTATTCCTAACTTAGCTAGTAATATATACTATAAATATAGGGTAGGGAGGTTTATAAGCCTAGTAATATTATTATATAACTATTTAAAGTAGGTATTTAGAATTAAATCTAAAAGTATAGTAAAGATATAAGAATTATTTAGACCTTAAAAAGTTAATATTATACTAGCTTAAATTTACTAATAAAAAAGGGGGAAATAAGGATATCTAAAAAATAGAGCCTTTATTACCCCCCTAGAAAAGAATATTACCTCCTTAGTATTTAGTTTCTTTACTACCTTTAATATAATATTATTAGTATATTAATTCTAACTAAATACTTTAAAAAATAAATATATTAAAAGTTTAATAAGTTTATAGATAAGTATACTAAATAATACTACTTATTAGTACTATATATAAGCTTATAAGCTTTAAGGTAGTATTAGGTTTAAAATATAGCTATTATATAGGGGTAGATTTTTCTATATAAGATATATTATATATCTTTATTTCTATAGTTATTATTTTATTCTATTTTAGAATATATATTATATAATTACCTTTATTATTATATATACTTAGTAAACCTAGAATACTATCTTTATTATATAATAACTCTTATCTATAGATAACTTTAATATAAATACTTATACTAGTTTATAGATAACTTTAATATAAATACCTAGGCTAGTTTATAAATAACTTTAATATAAATACCTAGGCTAATCTATAAATAACTTTAATATAAATACCTAAGCTAATATAAAGGCCTAGGCTTA